ATGCCAATAGAAAGCAATGCCAGATATTTCTGCTTAATAACTAAACACAAGTAATCGTGAACAATACCAGGAACGAAGAAACACCACACTACGCAAACTTAATTCATCATATTATTTTATTTTATTTATTGTTTATTATTAAAATTATACACCACCCTTTTAGCATTAGTTATACCAAAACACAGGTTCCAGTTGGCTTTCTTTGCGGAAAGCTGCTGCTTGACATGGCTTCTGAAAAGTTAGGTGGATTCTCATCTAAATAGTCATGCATGACTAAGTTCTTTCATTAATCTGCTCTTTATACTGCAGGTATTCACACTCCTTCAATTACAAGGTGTTATTAGCATCGGAAGTCACTTTAAGGTGTTTCCTTCAACCATGGAAATTTGTAATGACTATCCCATTATGTTATGAGTGATTTCCTGTTTAAAGTCTGCACTGAGAAAGGCAAGGAGTGATGCCCAGAGGATTGCCAGACGGTATGCTAATGATTATTGGCTAAAGCTGTGTCAGAGCATTCAACTCACTTGCAAAATGTATGAAGGCATGAAGAAAGCCTTTGGACCAATAGTCAGGAAAACCATACCACTGAAAACCTTGTCTGGAGAGATCATCACAGACTGCAGCAGGCAGATGAAGCAATGTGCAGAGCACTATCAAGAATGGTACTTGCAGAAAAACGTGACTGCTGACACAGCAGTTGACAGCATCCAGACTCTGCCTGTCTTTGGAAGAGCTAGATGTCCCTCCCTCCCTTAAATATCAGGCCCCAGGATAAAGCCCCAGGACAGGACGGAATCTCAATTGAAATGCTGAAAGCCAGCTTCAACTCCTCCCTCATGATGCACTTCCACGGCCTTCCCTTGCAGTGCTGTGAAACAGGATCCGTGCCACAAGACAAGTACGGCTCCAGCATTCCAGCCCTCTACAAGAACAAAGGTGACCACTATGACTGCAACAACTACCGAAAAATCTCCCTGCTGAGTACTGTGCCCATGTAGTTCTCAACAAATCACAGTTACTCACTGACAGGGTTTATCCTGAGTCACAAGCTCAGAGGTCAACAGTCAACTTGATATTCACACTGCGTCAGCTGCAGGAGAAATGCTGAGAGCAGAGTCGCCCCTTGTACATCACCTCCAAAGACTTGACAAAGGACTTTGACATCGTCAACCGAAAAGGACACTTCATTACTCAATATGATAGGATGCCCACCTAAGCGCCACAAGATGGTTGTCCTTCCACAAGAACATGTGTAGCACCTTCCACTATGACAGCTCATTCTTGGATGCCTTCCCTTTAAAGAGCAGTGTGGAACAAGGCTGTGTTTTCTCCAGAACAGCATGGGAGAATGTTATGCTAACGACCAATAACAAGATGAAGGTCTACCAGCCTTGAATGTTGAGCGCACTGCTTCATTGTAGTGAGACATGAGCAACTTACTCCCGCCAGGAGCAATGCTTTAATGCCCTCCATGTGTGCTGCATCAGAAAGATTTTGGGCATCACATGGCAGGACAGAACCTCAAACAATGACGTGCTCTCCCAAGCCCACATTCGCAACATGTTCATACTCCTGCCTCAACTACATCTACGTTGGCTTTGTCATGTCCACAGGATGGAAGATGGCAGGATCCCCAAGGATGTGCTCTACGGGGAACTGGCTTCAGGCACCAAGTTCTTTGGCAGACCAACTCTGTGTTACAAAGATGTCTGCAAAAGTGACATGAAGGCTGGCAACATTAACCCCACCATGTGGGAATCCCTTGCAGACTACTACAGCACCTGGAGACAGTCAGGTTGTGTATCCACAGCAGTGACAAGAGGAAGAATGACCGCTGGGAGGAGCGCAGAAAGAATAAATGCCATGGTCTTCTTCTTCTTCTTTGGCGACCACTCGTAGCCGAGTATGATTGTCTTCCATAAACATGGTTTTAACATTGAGTCCATAAGTGACTGTGGAGGCCAATTCCGGACCCACACGTCTTTCCACAGTGGGGACATTGGTTCCCAGGCGGGAGTTGATCATGGTGTGGATTTGCCAAGCGTGCCTTCCTCCTAACACGTTTCTCCCTTGCATTCTGAGTTCGAGTGTCTTCAAAGCCCATGACACCTTTGGTAAAGGCTGTTCTCCAACTGGAGTGCTCTCAGGCCAGTGTTTCCCAGTTGTCAGTGTTTATACTACATTTTTTTAGATTTGCCTTGAGACAGTCTTTAAACCTCTTTTGTTGAGATATAGGTTTTTTGTTGCAGCTGTGGCATATAAAGGCATTTGGTTGTGTTGATGCAGGTGTACAATGGCATTTTTTTTTTAATCGTGAAAATGTCATGGTACACCTGCATCAACACAACCAAATGCCTTTATATGCCACAGCTGCAACAAAACCTACCTCTCCCGTATCGGTCTCTACAGCGACAGCAGGCATGGAACTATCCCATAGTTTGACTTCATCCCAAAGGTACACTCTTCCATTGTCTCCAAAGATGTAACAATGCCAGCCAATCCTAATATGTTATGAGAAGTGTTAGAAATTGAGATATGAAATCTAGGAGCTTTCTTAAACCTAGGTTATTAGCACATCAGCGGAATGTCTAGGTGCGCTTTTTTATAACAAGAATACAAAGCTGAAAATGAATGAACTGCAGTTAAAATATTATGTTCATTTTTCATATGGTCTAGTCCTTCCCCCTAATATTCTTAAGAGGGTCTCTTCTCCAGTCTTCAGAGAGTAGCCAGACATGGAGAGGCAGAAAAAGGTTCTCCCTTTCCTTCCACCCTGCAGTTTTAATCTGAAATCTTAGGTGCAGTACTGAGCCCAGAACTCAGAAACTGCTCACGTTAATGAAATCCCCTGTCGCAAAATGCGCCTAAAACAATGGGAGTTTCGAAGACTGGTTATGAGTGATTTCCTGTTTAATGTCAGTTGAAAATGATACTCCAAATAGTCCTCAAAATAGGACTATACTCAAAATATATACAACGTTGACCAAAAGAGGCCACAGTTTCATCCTTTATTCGTCAAACCTGACTGCTAATACTGCAGTAATCACTTACCGGTACATTCCAGAGTACTTTTTGAGCAGATGGCATATAACCTGCCCATCCAATTGCCATTTCAAACAATGGTGAAGAATCCCAGCTATGCTCCATATTGAGAATATTGCTGTCATTTTGCTATCACTCCATTATAAGGGTTATGTCATAAAAAGCACACGTTCCCCCAGCTTGGAAGGCAATTGATTTCCTGCCTCCACGCTAAAAAGTTATAAGCAACCATTTAGCCTGCCTGTGTGTTTTAGTCCTAAGTACTGCTGGAGATCAGATACTGGAGCTATTTCAAGTGGTAACCTATATTTTGTAACATGCTAGTCTTCTGGATTTTAGAGTGGAAACTGGGTTGCTGTTGGGAAAAAATAAACACCACCTTTCTCTTTATCTGGGTCCTGTAATTGGCTGTAGCCTGTTATGGAAGCTTTTTACTTTTAACCACCCCCCTCTCCCTTTTATCCCCTACTGGAATTTTAAGTTGTCCCCCCCACCCCGGCCCAATATCTAATTACAGTAAATCATTATTTGAAGTCTGGAACCACTCACTTACCCTGGCATATAATTATAAAACCCTGGTATTCAAATATAAGGCTTTGTTCTTCACCAAACTTTCTAAAATGTACAACCCTTTTAGCTCTTTTCTATCAACCAAATGTTATGTAATACTTTGCCTCGAATCATTAAAGCTGCATGACTTTAAGATACTTCATGCAATTTCGGGGCATACAGAAAAACAATGACTTATCTCCATTTTGAAAAAAATGACTTATCTCCATTTAATCATCTTATTAAATACAAAATAACTAACTGCACAAAGGTTGTGTGAATGTTCAAAGTGTGAGCTGCAACCTTTTTGGTTTATTGCTGCTTTGATATGTGTTTCTAAAGGTCTGGTTTAGGGTTTCTGATCTCTCTTTTTCTTCACTTGCAAACCTCTTCTGGGATTCAAGGCACAAATAGTGTTGCCCACTTTTGCAGGAGGACGTCTGGCCTGAATATAATTGGTTTCGCCTGCTTTATGTTACCTTGTTATGGAATCAGTGCAGACATGACATTGCCTCCCTCCTAAGTACTATTCAGAAACTGAGAGCCAGCATCCAGATTTACACCGTACCCCTTCCCATTCTCATTCCCTCTTGCAAGTGAATTGCCTCTTCTGCATTAAGTGTGGTTAAGGGAAATGTCAGCACTCAACTTCCCTGCAGTACTTGCTGAACAAGGGTTCCCACTTAATTTCAGACCATGTATGTGCTACAACAACCATGTTGAAACTAAGCAGATCTGTGGTTGGTCAGTACCTGGATGAGAGGCTACCTGTGCATCCTACAAATGCCAGCTTGAGAGTGGGAGACAACTATACAAAATAAACCAGGAATTTGGGAGGAGTAAATAGGCCAGGATCCAAACACAGAACCAGTTCCATGAGCCCATGAGGGATTTAAATTTGCTTTTCTATAACGCAAGTCCCACTCCTCATACTGCCACATGGGACGCTGCTTTTGAAACTGCAAGGAGTTTGTGATATTGTGCATATGCATATGGGGCCACCGAGTTAAGAAAGAAAGAAAGCCATTTAGGAGAGCATAAGGAGACAATTTGTAACCCAATCATTCATTTTGTATCACTATGCATAGGTTTTATATGCTCTTGTTGAAAGGATTGTCAGAATGCCTGGCTTGCATCAGTCCCACACCAACTGAAGTAGGTCTCCCAATATTAACCTTAACTCTAAGAACTTGTACTTTAACCAACCTGTTGAAGTTATCACCATTTAAACCTAATCCTAAACTTCCTGGAAACAAGTTTCATTGAAATAACTGGAATTTGCCTCCACTTGGTGCTTCAGGAATAAAATTTGGTAGCAAGTTCAAAACAGATGACATATTCTGAACATTTACTCCAAAGGCACACTCCATTGTCTTCTGAGACAGATGGAAGCCAACAACTCTTGAGGAATCTTCAAAGCTATTGAACTTACCTAGTTAAATAGTTTAGTGCCAACTCTGATGGTGATGGTTTCTTAGGTTCTACTTTCTTAACTACGATCCCTTTTTCTCGCATTAATCTCTTTTCTTCCTTCTTGCGCTCTTTCTTCAGCTTTCTTTCCAACGTCCTCTTTTCCTCTGGAGAAAGTTCTTCATCTGTATCCTCCTCCGGTTTCTTTTCCTGAATAACAAAAGTACAATACTCAATCTACTGTTTATTAGAAAATGTCCCAGTTTCTATGTTGATAGGCAGGGTGCATGTGAGGGGGGGGTCTAAATGCTGGAGAAACATCAGGGTAGGCTGTATGGTATCTCTTTATGAACAGCACACAGATACATATTTGTTGCCATCTTGTCAATGGAGGCAGAGCCACCCACTGTCAGGAGACATCTTTACCTCATACAGCAATGCTCCTGTGTGCAGAATGAAAAGCAGTCATTCACTTATATGGGAAAAAAGAAAAGGGGTGCATATAGAGACACCACTGAGGTGAGTAAAACAAACAAGCTTCCTGCTCCTGGAGTAAGGGGTGAGTTTTGCTCACTCCACAGCCCACCTACTTCATTTCATCAAACTGAATTTTAATTATTTATGAAAAACTTATTTATATAGTCAAACCTCGGTTCCCAAACACTTCCGTTTTGGAATGTTTTGGCTCCTGAACACTCAAAACTGTTATTTTGGGTGTTCTGTGTTTTGGGTGTTCCGGGTTTCAAATGTTTTTCGAAAGCAGAACATCTGATGCGGCTTCCTCTTGAGTGCAAGAAGCTCCTGCAGCCAATCAGAACGGGCTTCCGGAACGAATTACATTCAACAACTGAGGTTTGATTGTACTGCCTTCCACATTAAAATTATAACACAAATAAAAGAGAGACAATAGTCCAAGGCAGAGTTAAATCATAACCAGCACACTGTGACAGCCACTGAGAACTGAACAAGCTTTCATTTGCAAAACCCCACCTATTCCCCTACATTATCTTCACTGTGGTTTCCATTCCTTCCCATGATGCTACAGCGTGACAGTATTTTGCTTTCATGAAAGTGAAAGAGAACTTATGCCATAATAAACCTTTTAGTCTTTAACACAATACTCTTTGTGGCTTTTACCGCAACTAGCACCTCTGCAAAATGAATGCTGAAAACTCCCTAGGTGAGGTACGTCCAACATCCAACAGGTTGCAACCCACCATCCAATATAAAAAACTGGCAGTGATCCACCACACTCTCCCATGGTCATTCTTCAACTTAAACATATTATATTTAGCTGGGGAAACCCAGCCAGATGGGCGGGGTATAAATAATAAATTATGATTATACAATAATAACAAATTATTACCCCCATGGGAAGCCAACACGCCCATGGGAAGCCAACACGCCCCGAAATGTCCACTTCCCCCTTTACCAGATAAAAAAGTGACGTGGGAAGGGGCAGCAGCGGCTTACTTTTGAATAAATGCAGATAGGCTGGAGCTGGAAAGGTGGGGAAATCTCAGAATCCATGCAGAACTAGGAGGGAGAGGGTTTTCTTTCCATGGGAACTGGCGGGAGGGGGGAGAGCGAGGAGAACCGTCATGGTCTCTCTGTCGCGCTTCCCTTCCCTCGGCTCCATTTCCTGGCTGGCCAGCTGACCGGGCACCTCCGCAGCTGCAGCCCATGCAGAGCCTGCACATCTCATTTTTGCCTGCCTGCTCAGGGTTGCAGCTTGTAGGGGGCGGAAGCAGGTGCCTTGCGCCTGTCTGGGCTGGCCAGCTGACTGGGTGTCGGGCAAAGCCGGTGGCCGAGCGGGGTGCTTGAAGCGGCCATGATGGACCAAAATTCTCAAAACAAAAAAAATTCCTTCCAGTAGCACCTTAAAGACCAACTAAGTTAGTTCTTGGTATGAGCTTTCGTGTGCATGCACACGGTCTTTAAGGTGCTACTGGAAGGAATTTTTTTTGTTTTGACTATGGCAGACCAACACGGCTACCTATCTGTAACCAAAATTCTCAAGTGATCCCCGAGTCAATCGTGGTCAACGCATTGGACATACATGCCCTAGATAAATAAAATTAAATATTCATTTACAAATTAAAAACATTTTTACTTGGGTTACCCACATCAGTTTAGTGGTGCCCAAGGAAGATTTCATCTCATACATACATATATCTCACATACATTAGACATAAAATTAGAACTAAAATAAAAACAGACAGATAGGCTTGCTTTGGTCATAACAGCAGAAAGCTAGCAGCATCTTTTCTCAGAATTAAATCCTACTGTGATTTAAGTGATATTTGCTTCTTATCAATTTTGTTTCTCTATTTAGAATAATTATATCACAAGCAAAAACAATAAAATTCAGCAATGCAAAGAGCAAATACACATACAAAAAGCATTAAAAGCATGGAACCACCAGTCAACACCTCCATGCTGTTAGGATTCAACCTTCATTCAGCTCATTATCATATCTAAGCACCTGGCTCACCTCACCTGACTCAGCTGACAATGAGAAACAGGGACAAGTGCCACCAGCACATTCACTGCACATCACTATAAATCTTCTAATGACCCCACCCTGAGGTTTCACAGAGATGTTAAAAAGCATGGGAGGAGAACTGAAAGCTTACAGGACCCTGCAGCACAAATGCTGAGCAGACATCTTTGAATGCTGCTTTCTGAAATCAACCTTTAGGTACGAGTGGAAACACCATAACGCTGTGCCTCCAACTCCCACCTCATCTCACTGTACATGCTGCACTGCATTTATCAATTTAGGATTAATTTCGTTGTTACTTTCTTAACCGTATGTGTCGCTTGTGTGTCCAGTGATACTGTGGTGTGACAAATTTTCAGAGAAGCATGTGACTGTCTCACACAAAAGGCCTCACCTCTCTAGGAAGCATGTTTTAGGGTTCATGTGTGAAGTAGACACACTTGCAGGTTCCAACACAAATGTAACATGATGTCCATGATTTAATTTCACAGCATGAATTGTATAAGGCATCCGGGCTTGATAGTATTCCTCCATCTGTACTAAAAGAGAATTTGAGTCGACAGGTGCCCCTTTTAGCATCATTTTACACGTGTGTTAAGATGAGCTGTGCTCCCCATATATCATAAGGCAATTGTAGTGTCTATTGGGTGAAGGGAGAGATATGGAAGTAAGAAGTTGAAAGTCTTGGAGATGAATAAATTGGCTCCAGACCAAGCCATATACAGTGGTACCTCGCAAGACGAATGCCTCGCAAGACAAAAAACTCGCTAGACGAAAGGTTTTTTCCGTTTTCGATTTGCCTCGCAAGACGAATTTCCCCTATGGGCTTGCTTCGCAAGACGAAAACGTCTCGCGACTTTGTTTTCTTTGTCTAAAAACAAAGACATGTTTTGTTTATAAAGTTAATTTATTTTCCCTTCAATTTTTGAACTGCTCTTTACAGTATGTGTGACTTTAAAGAGCAGTTAATAAACTGTTGTTGTACCAAATTTGGCTTTGTTTGGACTTTTTTTGACCATAGGAACGCATTAATTGATTTTCAATGCATTCCTATGGGATTTCGTGCTTCGCAAGACGAAAAATTCGCTAGACGACAAAAATTGCGGAACGAATTAATTTCGTCTTGCGGGGCACCACTGTAGTTGTAGATCACTGTTTCTTTTTGTACCATCATGCAGCAGAGTACTCCAATCAAAGTGGGGGAGGCGTTAACCTTTCTGTGCTTTTGATTTAGTTCCAAGGAATTTGTTATGTGTAAAGCTGGAGGCCCTGTCTATTCACAAGAGGCCTTTGTTTTGAATTTGGAAAATGTCTAGTTAAACTGAAATGTAGGTTCACTGTGGACAAGTGAGAACCTCTCTGATCCAATTTCAACTACAAGAAGAGTATATCAAGGGTGTGTGTTTTATCCACTTCTGTTCACTCTTTTAAAAGTGATATTTTCCTTTAGCAATTGTCCACTTTTGTTACACTAACAGTGGTTTCCACAAACACTGAGCTCTAGATTTTTTTAAGGCCAACTCTGTTATTCGGTTGCTTATTGGAGCTGCAATCTGGATTAAAGATGCTCGGCCATATGTGGATGCTGTGCAGGCACTCATCCTCTGGTCTATTCTTGGCGTTCTTAAATGAGTCTGGGCTTCAGCTTTTTATTTGTAAGTTGGATTTCAACCAGTGAGCTCTAGCGCTCATTACCCTGAACCTTTCGATTTGATTATACTGTAATGCAGTTGTACATTCTTTTGGCCAACTATGCATCAATGAAAGCTGCTTTGGAACAAGATATATGCAAGGGGCTTTTCACCCGAGGCTTTGATAATAATGGGTGCTAATCATGCTAAAATTGGGGATTTAGACCTCCAAAATATTTGATATCCAGCAAATATGCCTGCTCCCTGTTAATAATTTAATCCAATTGTCGGATTAAATTGACAAAATACTTAATAGAATCATAGAGTTGGAAGATCATCTAGTCCAACCACTGCAATGCAGGAATCTCAGCCACAGCATCCATGACAAATGGCCATCCAGCCTCTGATGAAAAACCTCCAAGAAAGGAGAGTTCAGAACCTCCCAAGGGAAACCATTCCACTGTCAAACAGCCCCTACTAGTTTATCCTGATGCTTTGTCAGAATCACCTTTCTTGTAACTTGAAGCCATTGGTTTGAATCCTAGCCTACAGACCAAGAGAAAACAAGCTTGCTTCATCTTCCATATGACAGCCCTTTAGCTATTTGAAGATGGCTATCATATCTCCTCTCAGTTTCCTCTTTTCCAGGATAAACACACCCAGCGCCTTCAACCTTTCCTCATAAGACTTAGTTTCCAGACCCTGATAATCTTGGTTGCCCTCCTCTGCACATGTTCCAGCTTGTCAACATTCTTCTTAAACTGTGGTGCCAAGAATGGATACAGTATTCCAGGTATGGTCTGACCAAGGCAGAATAGAGGGGTACTATGACTTCCTTTGATCTGGACACTACTGTTGATGTCACTTAGAATAACATTTCCTTTTTTGCTGTTGCATCACACTGTTGTCTCACATTAAGCTTGTGGTCCACCAAGACCCCTAGATCCTTTTCACATGTACTACTGACAAACTGGGTGTACCCAGTTTTATTTTTGTGCAGCTGATTATTCATGCCTAAGTATAGAACCTTACATTTGTCCCTACTGAAATTCATTTTGTTAGCTCAGGCCCAGTTC